GTATTATACCAAAAGGTTACCTATTCAAGACATTATGTTCTCCCTTCTCCATTAGGGTTCCTATGTCTACAGCTGGTTACCAGATTATGCAGAACACAAACTTTTACTGTATGGAAAAAAAGAAGTGAAATTGAAATGCTGTTGTTTTATTGCTGAATCAAAAGGAAAAATATAAAACATCAAAGAAAATGTTTAAAATATATCAAACACAATTTGTAAAATAATATAGCGGAAGAGGAGAAACATTTCTGGCTGGCAATGCTGTGCACATGTGGAGAATGCATTTATTAATCGTCCAACACACTCTCCAGAGATTCTCTTGCAAATGCAGCAAGGGGACAGACTTATTGGCAACGACTGCTTTAAGCAGGGAAGGCAAGACCGAGCAAGGAGAGAGCGCAAGGCTAGTAAAGTGGCTGAAATACCCAGATAATGTGTTACAAGGCTTGATTACAGGAGGTGACTTGTGTGGACCCCTTCAACTGACAACATAGAGCAGCCATTTCGAGCGCAGTTACTTTCATTTAATTCCTCTCTGTCTCGTTGTAGTCACGTAGCAGACTTTCAGAAGTCAGCAGTACAGGATCCCGGTGTAGAACACCGAAAGGTGTGTTTGCCGTCAGTAGGCCTCAGAAAATAACAACAAATGACGAAAAACTGCCATGGGTATTTAGTATAGAATTTAAACCATCAGGCAGAGCTAAATTATATTAACGCTTATAACACATTAGAAGGGAACCATTACTTCTCTAGAAATTACACAGATTCACAAAACACTGAAAACTTTCTGTCAATTGTGTTAACCTTTTTATCTGATGTATTTTTTTTATTTTATATGTACATTAACAATACTGGAATTGACATGACAATGCAGTTCAGTTGTGGTACAGTCAGAGGTACACACGGCATTGGAGGAAGAGAAATAGAAACTATACAAGTGTGTAATTTTGTTGCATTTAATTGTATTTATCAGACCTCACAAATCATTTTGGTAAAGGACATGTTTCATAATTTTGTGTTATAAAAGGTGTCATGTAATGTATCCTTATTTTTGTGATATTTTTAATACATATATATAATGTAACATCTCCCAACTTAGCCTTGCTGAATGTGGGTGACCATCTCTAAGTTGGCCAGAAGGCAATGCACAGTATGAATGTGAATGAGCATTGCACCCTAACCACTATGTCCTGGCTAATCCATGGCAGTATCACAATTAGGTAAGAATATGAAAGCTATGAATACCCTCCCTACCAGCTAGGATCTCCAATGTGCTCCTTCTTTAAAGTTTTACCGCTTTATTTTAAGCTCACCATGCCACTGCTTGAAAAGGCCTCTCTCTTCTTGGAGACCCAGTACATGCAGCCCTGTTAAAGGTGACTCCCAGGGTGTACCCATAGTGTACCCCTAGTCTGACCTAGACTCTCTCCTGAAGGAGATGAAAAGAAAAATGGTTTATGGAGTGCACAAGGAAGCCTATACATGAAGCATTAGCATATTAGGTATTTCAGATTTTAAAAATTCCCATTTGCTGGTGGAATACAAACCTACAGTTTATTTTGACCTATTTCATGTAAGTGTAGCAATAGCATAGATTGCAGGCTAATATAAGTATATCCATTATATCAGTTACTCCTGTTATTTAGTATTGGGTTTCCTTATTACAAATGGGTCACATTTGTGTGCCGGCAGGGATCCTCCGATCGAGCCTCATGTGGCTCGAACACTTCTGGCTCCTGGAGGGCCACTTGTGCCGAACAGTCTGATTGGGTGCGAGGCCCGTACAGTATTGGGAACGCTGATCCCAAGCAAGCACATTTTTAAAGGTGAAATGGGAGACTAACATTACGGTCAGCTCCCATTGGCCCATGTCATTCTGGCGCCCCCATTCACGCACGTTTTGGGGCGCAGGCATGTTGTGGACCAATCAAACTAACATTAAAAGTATTTAAACTTACCTGGCCCTAGATTCTGTGCCCTATTGTGGTTTCTGTTTCCAGTACCCCTTAGTGCATTCCTTGTGATTCTTATTGTATTCTGGTAGTGACCTTGGCTTTGCTTCCCGTTTCTCTTTTACTCTGGCCTGTCTTGTTTGCCCTTCTGATTACTTGACTCTGGCTAGCTCTCGTTTTCGCTGTCTCTCCGTTACCCTGACCTTGGCTTGTATTTCAACTACACTTTACTCTGTCTAACGTTAAGTAAGGCCACTCTAAGGCCTGGTAAGACATTTATATTTCATTAGTCCATTCCTTGCTATCCTAAACTCTCCGTGTTAGGGTTATACTCTGTGACATTTTAGATGTTTTATTGGTGAGCGTCTAGGTATAACAATAGAATAACATGGTTTTAGTTACATCGACATCAACAAGCATGGGTCGTAAACATCTACCTTTTGTCCTGAGCCTGTTGGGATATTTATATTTATACAGAGGTTCTAGTGTATCTACACGACATCTGTATTAGGTGTTGGTTAGTGTGGTTGCGGTGGTATTTGCAACAAACAGTAGTGTACCAGTCAGTTAGGTATGTGTGGGACTATTAAATGCGTCAGGGAGTTCTGTCAACATGAAAGTAAGTCAAGCAAACCGGTTAATACAAATTAACTCAAAATAGGTGAACAGGCTTAGTAAGCTAGGTTATGTATGAGTAGTGGTTTTCTCTCCCACTCTTTTCGGTGTTGTCACATCTCTTGGCTCCCTGAACTTCAAGCCGATAAGTTCAGCTTCCGTAGAAAGGGCGTCGGGTCATCTGATGACATCAGAGTGATGGTCTCGGCTCGGCACAGGACTATGAGAGATCTGTCTTCTCCCCACCGGTAATAGATCGCTGCTTATCTGAGCATTTTGGCTGTTGGAACTAGCTGCCTCTTCACAGTAAACAGTAAGTCTCCATATATTGACACAGAGCTGCCTTCAAATCAAACGATGCCCAATTCTGTAGACTTGGACATGATGGCGGATCGAACCACAATGTCTCTCTTTACTGCAACTGTGTCTCTAGATGCTCCTTCTGGAGCGGCCACTGCTTTGCGAACTCGGAACGTTGCTAGTATCATTCCAATTGCATCTTTTCCTGTTAGGCCCATTGAGGCCACCAATCATTGGATGAAAGGCAATAATTCTTCCCCGCCGATAGTTTCTGGCACTCCCCTCACCCGAATGTTCATCTTCTGTGTCGGGATTCTTGGCTGATTACAGAGTGGGAGAGTTTCTGCACTTGCTGGGCCATGTCATCCACCTGGTTTTGGGTGGTGTGTAATTGCCCCCCTTTTGGGTTTTGTCTTTGGTTTCCACCTCTGTGATTTTCTGGTGGAGCTGCTCTATCTCTGATTGTGCCTCTTTAAAGGTCCGCCTTCCAGACCTTGCGGATGTCTTGGAGGAGGTGTTTTATATCACCTTTGGTGACCGGTGATGATTCTGCATCAGAATCCGTATCCGAGTCAAGCTCACCCGGTTCTGGCGAGGTAAGCATGTCCCCTTCCTCTTGGGATGCCTCCAAAGGGCTCTTTTTCACTGTGAGCTACGGGCGCCATTTTATATGAGGCTGCAGCCGCAGGCCTCTCAAAAGACAGCCTGATGTTCGGCAATCTTGGGGTCTATGGAGGGCAGAACTTCTTATTTTTACGCCCCATGTTCATCTCTGTTGGGAGGTCAGGAAGATTTAGTCCTGTTGGAGCTAGAAAACGGTAATTTTGCAGATATTTGCAAGGTTGGCTTGGAGCTCTGCATGTAAGCGTCTATTCTCTCTCGCTGCTAGCTGCATCTCCATAAGTTTTATACACCTTGTGTTGGCGCTCTAGAAAAGAGTGTTGTTGATGGCTGTACTTACTATATGGAGTCTGCCTGCACGCTACAGTCCAGTAAATCTACAGACAAATGATACTAAGTCCACTCTGGCCCTAGTTTATAACAAATTATGTGTCAGTGATTTCCACAACCCATGTATTTTAGCACACAAACAGGCCTTACTTCTGAGAATGGAAGATATGCTTGGGTCTTTACTTGCCTTCATATTGGCACTTGTTCTTAGAAGTATATCTGACTACTCTACTGACATGTGTGTGTCTTTCAGCACATTAACATTACCTCCTTCAGAGAGTGAATATCATATCCTTTTTTCTGGACACTCCTATCCATTATAATCTACAGACACCTAGTGGTAAGCCCACTTCAGCCTTGGTATGTAATAATTCTACCAGTAATGTCTGTTTTAAGTATTGCCGCACTATTTCATAATTTACTAATGGCATTATCCTGCTGAGTGATCCTATATCATGGCAAATATCATACAAATGTCTCTATTCCAGGTAAAGGAGATCCACTGTCAATATCTTGGATATTATGTCCAGAAAAGTTTTCAACTGATAAGGTTCCTGATATGTACAGTATCTGATCAGACGGTGTTTCTGTTGTCTATGCACATGTTATCGAATTGCCTGTTTTCAACACATATTTGCACAACATATTTAATGTATTGTGTTTTACCACTGTTTGCCTTTTATCTGGTACTTACTAGTAACTGTATGTTATTGTACTAGTATAAATAGTATCCTGATATTTGTGATACCTGGGTATCTTGAGGTTATTGTTTGTAATGATGAAATCTATATCTCACAACATTGCATTTCACCACCGTTTTAATGATTGTCTCATTATTTTAAAATGTCACTATCTCTATTGTCCTACCTCTCACCATACTATATTACTGTAATATTACTCTATAAGTCAGTATTTCAGACCCTAGCCCAAAAAGCACAGATAAATGAGAATGTCAAAGTGCAAATAGTGCAGCCAAGCCACTGAAAAATGGGAAACACTCCCTGAATCCCTCTAATAAAACCAAGTGTAAATAAACTGTATAGCACACAGGTGAAAATACAGTGCAGGGCACCACAGTCACAAGATGTGTGGTGGTTATAGTTACCAACAATGTAGAGTTGAGGACCAGACTCACATATAAAAGATAAACAAAAAAATCCTAGGCCCTAGGCCCATTTTCACCTAGCCTCTTCACTCCCTGTTGGTTTGTGCCACAGCTCTACTACCATTTTACATGTACTACTGCTACTGAACTTAAACAACAGGTTGCATTTTCAAGGATGCCAATATCTTCTTTAGGTTGCAGTGGTTCCCATTCTGGTGATCATGGCCCACCAGCAATCCAGGATTGATATATGTCCCTGTTTTATTCTAATGGAGATACTGACAAAACCTGGACTGTTGGTGGGTCTTAAGGACTGGTATAGGATGCACTGGGCTAGAGCATTACTTTTCCTGTTGTCCTTGCCTGAATTTAATACTTAATTAATTAAAAATACTTAATATGTAATCGCAAACTAAGTTATAACAGTTTTATTTTTTTCATTTGGGGTCCATTTTTCTTTTCTAATGCTTCTCTCATTCCTTCTATTGATCCCCATTTTGGTTTGGTAGCTGCCTGCGACTGGATGGAGGTTTTCCTGGCAATAACTTGATATTTTTCTTACAGTGAGTGCTATGGTGAGATTAATGTCTTAACCTGGTTATCTTGATATATTTCACCTGTTCTTTTGTTCGGATTATCTTTCCGGTCTATAATTGAGGGTATAATTATGGTTTTACCCAGGAGTATTTCTGTTCCACCTTCCAATATGCTTTGACATTCTAAAAGCTGGTGACAATGTTATGGTTCTTCAGCATCAAGGGTCCTGCTGTTTACACACCCCTGGTCTAGACATTATTTGAAAGTACTGGATAGTTGTAACAAAGATTTTGTTCTCTATTCACCTATCTCACAATATGTATACTCTGTGAGAAGTCTATTATACATTTAGGGAACAGAGTTTGGCTTTCCTTTCTGATTTTGCAGACATTTGTGGTTTTATTTCCCTCCCATCAGATGTTTAGCGTGTATTACCCTATTGTGATGCTGCCATGGATTAGCCAGGAATTAGAAAAATGTAACCTTAAATGTAGCCATGCTTACCATAATTTATTTTCATATATCCATCGCAGCATGGCATCCCTCCTGTATTTCATTTTCTTTAGGAGCGTGGAACTAGACTGGAGATCCTATCTAGTAGGAGGGCTTTCCCCCCCCATTTCCTAAACAGCCAAGGTGGAGCTAACCCTATTGTGATGATATATCCAGGAAAAGAATATTCCGTTAAATATGGCAAAATTTTCCTAATCCACATGTTGATGTTTACTCCTCATGTCCAGTTGATCGCCAAATCCTGCCGCTTCCATCTCAAAAACATAACTCGCATTCGACCCTATTTAACACCAGATGCAGCTAAGGTGCTGGTCCATGCCATTGTTCTTTCTCACCTTGACTACTGCAATACCCTTCTCAGTGGTCTTACGTGTTCCCAGATTGCACCGCTGCAATCTATAATGAATGCGGCAGTGAGGCTCATTTTCCTGTCCGTCCGCCCCTCTTACACCTCCACCCTCTGTCAGTCCCTACATTGGCTTCCAGTTAGATATTTAAGATTTTGGTGCTTGCTTACAAGTCCCTACACAATGTTGCTCCATCCTCCCTAACACACATGTATGTGCCTGCGCTCTGCCGAAGACCACATTCCTCACATATCTCTCACAGGGCATGATGTAATCACATTGCATGTAAGTCAGTGGCCAGAACTCCCCATTTAGCAAATGACCTACTTCATCTTAACTAAAAGGAGATTCTGTACAATAGATAGACGTTTCTGAAACTGATAACTGGTTTGTGTTACATGGAGAATCAGCCTACTGATGTCAAAACATTATATAAAAGAAACAATAGAAAAATAAATGTGTATTTGTATTACTGTATTTTCTTAATAATTAGCTTTTTACACAATAATTTGTATTTTTTTTACACTAACATGTTCACTTCTTAAACAGGCGATCTAGCTATATACTGAGAGTTTTTTGGACCTACAATTTTAATTAAATGTCTGTCCAGCCTAGTAAACGAGTACCTTTTTGGGTGATATATGTAAGAAGTAGAAGAAGGAATGACTCTGAAACTCTCAGCCTTTAATTGTTAAAAGTACACTGCATGGCTGACAGTGATATTTTATACACATACATGCTGACACAATATGTATATCTCCATCTGTTCGTGCAGTGAAATAGCAAGCCAATGTGCAAATGATCAACATTTACAAAGCGTGACAACAGCTTTCTGATCTCCTTCAGTATTAATACACAAACAAAGCGTGGGTTTGTTTAAATTAGAGTAATACGGTGCTCTGCACCCAAAATTATAAACAGACGGACTTTAAAGAAGGAAGAAAAAAAAAAATCTTCACAATATGAGAAAACAGTATCAGATTTTCAAAGAGCAGTAATATAAATTACATAAATATAAAAAAATAAAATAAATTAAAAATAAATTCTACAAAAAGCTAATAGAATTTCACCATCTGGCAAGGTGTGAAGGAAAAGCTGATTAAATTGTTTTCTGGTTTCTTGTTGGTCAAGAGTAGTTCAGTTAGGGAGTAAGCGGCAGGAGCTTTGAGAAATACATTAAACCTGACAAAACAGATGGCCAATCAGATTTACTGCACACATTCCCATTACAATAAATATGTATGTGTTTTTAATTTTATTTTAAAGCTTGAAAATCCAAGGAAATACAGTTTTAGTTATGTTACAGTGCGGAAAAAAAATAAACTTTTTTTTGGTGTGATTGGTTTTAATTTTTATTTTCAGCACAGGTTATACCATCAACTAAATGCATATTGTCGCCTTACACAGAATGTACAAAGCAAGTGTGTTTATTCACCAATAAGTCATATGATGAGTTAAAAAGAATAATCTTAAACCAAAATATTCAACATTAAAAAGAAATATAAAAAAATAAATAAATTAAAAATAGGCAAGTCTGCCTTTGGCTTACTGAATCTTACTGTTTAATGACTAACCCCCCAAAATATAAATAGCAGCATTTTAAATCTAATGTAAGAATCTCCCTATTCACCTTGCTTTTACAATTCTTAAAAAAAAAAAAAAAAAAGTTTAATTCATCCACACTGATGTCATTATAATAATCCAGTAGTATTATTATAATTCATATTATTTGTAATGAAACAGTTTCCAAGTACTTTTCTTTTTTTTTCAATCTGAATTTTATTGAGGCAAACAAGAAGTTTTAAGCAATTCAAATAGGAGTCAGCGTAGAAATACAGAGAGGTAGATAAATGTGACATGCACATGGGCTTAAACATTAACACAGAACTCTGTTTCTGTGTCCATTTTCGTATGTATTCTATAACTGGGTGAACCTGCTCGTAGCTAATGACAATACATGAAAATGAGCACAAGATTATTGATTTGGATGAAGAAGGATTAACACATGGTACACTGCCTGTTCACCCAGGACCTGCTGTGGTGGCACAGACCCTCAGGTGCCTCCCACCGCTGCCCACCACAGTGATATGAGCATATGATAAACAGCCAGGGACTTGATCAGAAGTACTGTATATAGTGATACATGTAAAGATGGCAGCATTTCAGTATGAGAAACATTACACACAATTCACAGCCTCAATATGTGGTCACAACACTTGGAAAACATTTACTGAATATCTACTGGCAAATCTCTGATGTTCTGCTGGAAGAAACGGATATGGAACAAATTGCTGCTGTTGATACATCTCACAAGTACGAAGGAAGAAACTTGCAGAGAGTACTTAGATGATCTATGCAACGATAACCACAAAGAAGGGTTATTATGTGTGGTAGTGATGAAGGCACAGATGTGAAGTGGCATTCACGGCTTTAAGAAGGCTATGCATTGCATCTCAACAATACGTGGTTTATTAAGTCTGACTACCACACCTTTTGAAAACGCCAACTATATTGCTAGTTAGGAAAGAAAACACTGCATTTATAGTTATCAGCCAAAATGTGTGGATGCCAAATTCTGCATCAGGTATATATATAAGAATGTAACAAAATCACCATAAAGTGCATCAATGAAAAAATATATATTAATGTATAGATCACATCACACTAAAGTTAGAATGCTTGGCTGTAAGTATTCCAGAACTAATAATCTATACATTTTGAGGTCAATGAGTTAGCATTCAGTATAGATCACACGTTAAGATATTTAAACTGGGCAACTAAGGAACAGAACAGTTAATACAAAGGTTTTTTTTTACAAATTTAAATACATGTTTGTACAAAATTTCATGACAGAACTCACAAGAATGATGCATTTATCAAGCTCCCGACATGCCAATACAGAAGGTGTCGCCATATACTTACGGTGTGTACATTCTATAGCGTAAACCACAGAAATTGCCAAAGAAAGACAACATAAGAAAAGTGTGACAACTCAATAGCGATGGTGGCAACCTGTCTTTTTACATCAAACTCATTTGAAAGGGGCTTTAATTTTTTTAATGGATAAGAAAGGTTTCTTTGGTAGATTAAACTTGTGAATGTCATTCATATATTGTTTATAAGGTACTCATCTCCTCTTCAAGTAGTTTTTGTTTTTTTCATTTTGTATACTAGCAAGTACTGAAGAGTTGTCTGCCTGTATCAGAAAGAATAAAGAATAAATGTCCTTAACTGTCACTTTTAATAAGGGGAGTCAACGTGCCTCTATTCAGGTTAAATATTGCCCTGTCACATTTCAATGAAGTCAACAGAATTCTTAAAGAAAAGTCAAAAGCACTGTGTATGCAAAGAAAAGAAGAGGTGGGGAACAGAGGGCTCTGTCAAAGAGTGTCAAAGCTGTCTTTATTCCATGGGAGTGGAGGTGGGACAGAAAGTTCTTTGTAGATTGAGAGGAGGAAATTACTACTCATAATTGCTGCTGGCATAAAAAAATTCCAAGAAAAAAGCAAAAAGAGGATTTTAATGTAATAATAACCTGCAAACTGTTATTGTGGTGGAGGAGAGAAAAAACCTTAAAATAGCATGTCTTCTTTAAATAATTTCACTTTTGTGTAAAATAATTGGAACATTGTGTTACAACTGGACACAGACACACTTTATCTACAAGACACATTATTATGCTCTAGCATACTAGTAGAAGGTCTAAAAGGACTTGAAATTACTGTCCATACGTTATCTTCCACTATCGTCCATTATACAGAGATTACTAATAAAGTCCTGCTGAAACTCTGCTCTTCACATGTTTAGTTTCAATTAGTTTAACATAATGACCTTTGTGTAAAGGAGCCTGGTACTGTACCTTGGCCAATCCATTATGTTTTGCCAACAAAAAACAAAATGGACAGCAGTCCTTTGGGTTTATCTTGGCTTCTGTCTTCCACACTAACCCCATCC